AAACCCTAACAAACCCCCCCAAACCTCTTACAACCAAAACCCTAAAATAAATTATCCTGTGAAAATAATTCGTGGAATAACGATTTCTGGAAAATAAAGTCGCGTCAAACGAGCCGATCCCCAGGAAGAAAAGCCGTCGAAGTCCGCTCGAAGTAAAAACGAATGTGGTCGCGCGATCACCCAGTGATCTATTTGAAAAAAGGAGCAATCCGTTGCCGAGGACTGGCAAGAATTCAATCGTTCCCCACGTCCATTTGTCCACACCTGCTGTTCGTCGAAGCAGCCGTCGATGCGGCCAATTGTCAACAGGGGAAAAGGGAAGGGCAAGAAACGACGCATCTCCAATGAGTTCTCATTGACGATGCAACGCCGTTTTTGCACGTCGCTCTGTTCGAGGTAGCACGCTGTTCCGAGAACGATCCTCACCCTCGGTACAGTCGAGAAACAGGATCGATCGTGAGCTGGCATTGATAGATCACGAAGGGGATGACTAAGATACAGGAAGCAATTACTAGTTAATATTTGCTGTGACTTTTTTTGAATTTTTTTCTTTTGGGTTGGTTTTTAGCTGGATGAGGTGTTTACTGAGGAAGGTTAGTTTGATAGGAAGTTGACAGTGGATGTTGTTGAGAGATGCGTTGTTTGAGGAGATGTTAATGAAGGTGTTCTTTTGCTGATAATTGACATGTAGGTATTGGAAGTTATTTTTAACCTGTTGTGCTAAAGGCTTCTAATTTCCAAGGTTCCTAACTCTCAAGTTCCCAAACTCCCAAGGTCCTAAATTTACAAGGTTACAAACTATCAAGGTTCTGAAATTCTTAGAGTTCCAAATTTACAAGGTTAGGAACTCTCAAGTTCCCAAACTCTCAAGGTACCAAATTATCGAGGTTTCAAACTCTCAAGGTTCCAAACTCTCAAGGTCCAAAACTGTCAAGGTCCCAATCTCTCAAGGTTCCAAACTCTCGAGGCTCAAAACTCTCAAGGTTCCAAACTCTCAAGGTTCCAAACTCTCAAGGTTCCAAACTCTCAAGGTTCCAAACTCTCAAGGTTCCAAACTCTCAAGGTTCCAAACTCTCAAGGTTCCAAACTCTCAAGGTTCCAAACTCTCAAGGTTCCAAACTCTCAAGGTTCCAAACTCTCAAGGTTCCAAACTCTCAAGGTTCCAAACTCTCAAGGTTCCAAACTCTCAAGGTTCCAAACTCTCAAGGTTCCAAACTCTCAAGGTTCCAAACTCTCAAGATTCCAATCTCTCAAGGTTCTAAACTCTCAAGGTTCCAAACTCTCAAGATTCCAATCTCTCAAGGTTCTAAACTCTCAAGGTTCCAAACTCTCAAGATTCCAATCTCTCAAGGTTCTAAACTCTCAAGGTTCCAAACTCTCAAGATTCCAATCTCTCAAGGTTCTAAACTCTCAAGGTTCCAAACTCTCAAGATTCCAATCTCTCAAGGTTCTAAACTCTCAAGGTTCCAAACTCTCAAGATTCCAATCTCTCAAGGTTCTAAACTCTCAAGGTTCCAAACTCTCAAGATTCCAATCTCTCAAGGTTCTAAACTCTCAAGGTTCCAAACTCTCAAGATTCCAATCTCTCAAGGTTCTAAACTCTCAAGGTTCCAAACTCTCAAGATTCCAATCTCTCAAGGTTCTAAACTCTCAAGGTTCCAAACTCTCAAGATTCCAATCTCTCAAGGTTCTAAACTCTCAAGGTTCCAAACTCTCAAGATTCCAATCTCTCAAGGTTCTAAACTCTCAAGGTTCCAAACTCTCAAGATTCCAATCTCTCAAGGTTCTAAACTCTCAAGGTTCCAAACTCTCAAGATTCCAATCTCTCAAGGTTCTAAACTCTCAAGGTTCCAAACTCTCAAGATTCCAATCTCTCAAGGTTCTAAACTCTCAAGGTTCCAAACTCTCAAGATTCCAATCTCTCAAGGTTCTAAACTCTCAAGGTTCCAAACTCTCAAGATTCCAATCTCTCAAGGTTCTAAACTCTCAAGGTTCCAAACTCTCAAGATTCCAATCTCTCAAGGTTCTAAACTCTCAAGGTTCCAAACTCTCAAGATTCCAATCTCTCAAGGTTCTAAACTCTCAAGGTTCCAAACTCTCAAGATTCCAATCTCTCAAGGTTCTAAACTCTCAAGGTTCCAAACTCTCAAGATTCCAATCTCTCAAGGTTCTAAACTCTCAAGGTTCCAAACTCTCAAGATTCCAATCTCTCAAGGTTCTAAACTCTCAAGGTTCCAAACTCTCAAGATTCCAATCTCTCAAGGTTCTAAACTCTCAAGGTTCCAAACTCTCAAGATTCCAATCTCTCAAGGTTCTAAACTCTCAAGGTTCCAAACTCTCAAGATTCCAATCTCTCAAGGTTCTAAACTCTCAAGGTTCCAAACTCTCAAGATTCCAATCTCTCAAGGTTCTAAACTCTCAAGGTTCCAAACTCTCAAGATTCCAATCTCTCAAGGTTCTAAACTCTCAAGGTTCCAAACTCTCAAGATTCCAATCTCTCAAGGTTCTAAACTCTCAAGGTTCCAAACTCTCAAGATTCCAATCTCTCAAGGTTCTAAACTCTCAAGGTTCCAAACTCTCAAGATTCCAATCTCTCAAGGTTCTAAACTCTCAAGGTTCCAAACTCTCAAGATTCCAATCTCTCAAGGTTCTAAACTCTCAAGGTTCCAAACTCTCAAGATTCCAATCTCTCAAGGTTCTAAACTCTCAAGGTTCCAAACTCTCAAGATTCCAATCTCTCAAGGTTCTAAACTCTCAAGGTTCCAAACTCTCAAGATTCCAATCTCTCAAGGTTCTAAACTCTCAAGGTTCCAAACTCTCAAGATTCCAATCTCTCAAGGTTCTAAACTCTCAAGGTTCCAAACTCTCAAGATTCCAATCTCTCAAGGTTCTAAACTCTCAAGGTTCCAAACTCTCAAGATTCCAATCTCTCAAGGTTCTAAACTCTCAAGGTTCCAAACTCTCAAGATTCCAATCTCTCAAGGTTCTAAACTCTCAAGGTTCCAAACTCTCAAGATTCCAATCTCTCAAGGTTCTAAACTCTCAAGGTTCCAAACTCTCAAGATTCCAATCTCTCAAGGTTCTAAACTCTCAAGGTTCCAAACTCTCAAGATTCCAATCTCTCAAGGTTCTAAACTCTCAAGGTTCCAAACTCTCAAGATTCCAATCTCTCAAGGTTCCAAACTCTCAAGGTTCCAAACTCTCAAAGTCCCAATCCCTCAAGGTTCCAAGCTCTCAAGATTCCAAACTCTCGAGGCCCAAAACTCTCAAGGTCCCGAATTTCCAATTTAGAGTATTCTCTAACCTTCAAAGGTCATCTCCACCCTGTTACTCTTGTACAACCTTCTAATCCTAAGGTCATCTCCACCATACTACTCTTTTACACCCTTTCACTCCTACAATGTCATTTCTACAATGTCATACTCTGCCTCAACCCCTTAACCCACAATTTGTTCAACAGGTCACTCAAAATCTACCAACCCCTGCTACAATTTTAAAATAAATAACAAAACTTGAAATGTACCAATCCTTAATTTAACACAACATTAATTTAATTAAATACAAACTGTACTTAGAATTCAAAACATTGCAGAACAAACACAACTTATTTTTTTATAAATTCAATAAACATGTGACAATTAAATTGTCACAAGTGTGCACCAACGAAGCATTAAAAGTATCCAAAAAATGTCTTCGCTAATATAAGAACTGTCACGTTCCCATGAACTTGACCTCGAGAATTTGTTCAACGTACATATGGTAGCTGCAGGTGAAAGCAGTCGCCCGGATAAGAATGCGTTAATCGACGCCGATCGATTCGATGATTTCGATCGATGTCGAGTATAGACCTTTAACGTAACTGGAAACCGGCTGGACGTAAACGGAAGAGTCTCATACGATATCCGAAGAGAGCTCGTGATGGAGAAGACGACCCATCGAGAAACGAATATGGTGCGCCAGGTCCATGGGAAAGCACCTTGGGCCTCGACGATGCCAGAGGTGAACATTATGAGGTAAGACTGGGATGGACAAAGAGAGGTTCGATGTCCTGACATAGGTTAGCCATGATCTTCGGCAAATAATTAATTTCCTTCGGCGAAATTGGGAAACCTTGCACTTCTTTTTGGATAGTCGGATCTTTTGGAGGTTTTAAATTTTATGGCTTTCTGAGATGAGTATTGGGGGAAGACTAATTTGAACCCAATATAAGTTTAGGGTAAGTCTGCAAAGTTTGATTTGAGGAAACCCATAATTAAAATTGGAAGAAAGAAATCTTGTAAATTATAGGAAAGGCTTAGAAAAATAAATTTATAAATTGAGGTTATGTTTGGATTAATTTATAGGTTATGTTTGGACTAATTTATAGCCCCTGACAAGCTCATAGTCCCTAATTTATACTCCTTAATTTTTGTACTAATTTTTTAAAGACTAAAATGGTAGTGGAAGCTTAAAAAGGTGAACTAGAAGTGATATTCTACAAAGAGTTAATTCGAAAGGTTATGTTTGCATTAATTTATAGACTCTGACAAGCTTATAGTCCCTAATTTATACTTCCTAATGTACTAATTTTTACTAATTGTACTAATTCGTACTTAAGAAGCATATGAACACAAACCAGAAAAGAAGTTCCACAAAGAGTTAATCATAAAAGAAGGATTTAACCTTGAAACTCGATCAAATTACATAAGACGAGAAAGTTGCTGTAATTGAGTCTCATAAAAATCTCTTGTTCGATTGAATACCTCTTTCTGTATATTTGTTTATCGAAATAATAATCGCCTCCTTTTTTCCGTCCGCACGAGGAATAAAAGAGTCATTCTTCCTCGTTGAGGCTTCCTTTTCATGCTATCTCACGTACACCTGTTCGCTGCCAAATGAGTTTCGTTTGGACGCGTCGAGTGTGTGAGACGTTGAAGCAAGACGAAAGATAAAAGTCTCTCGAAGCGAAACGACTTCCTCTATCCGAGAAGTTTCTCGCCGGATTCGCTCGTAAAACTCACCAGAATTGGATTGCGATGCCAGTAGAACAGCCAGACAGAGTATAATCCCGGGTCGACAGGGCCCGGTGCTCAAGGCCGACATGTCGGCGCTCTTCTTCCGTTTCCTGAAACACAAAAAAACATTAGGTTAATTATTTGTCTTTTGTGTTGGCTAGAAAAAGGGTTCTGCACTTCTATTTGATATATTAATTAAGTAATATTAATTGTACTTAGTATTTGTAGCATTTTTGGGGATTTGTTGCACTTATGAGGATGCACTTTAGGGTGCTATAAGTAGCTAAATCTAGCTTCATAATTTTCAAACTGTTAAATTTGTAATTTCCCAAATTTACAAGTCACATAATATTTAATTTCCCTAATTTCCAAATCATCAAATATCTAATTTGTCAAACTTCCAAATGACTAAATATCTAATTTGTCAGATTTCCAAATGACTAAATTCCTAAGTTGCCCAAATTCCATGTGACCAAATACCTAACTCTTCAAATTTCTGAATGATCAAATATCCAACTCCCCAAATTTCCAAATGACCAAATACCTGATTTCCCAAATTTCCAAATGACCAAATTCCTAAGTTGCCCAATTTCCAAATGACCAAATACCTAATTCCCTAAATTTCTAAATGATCAAATATTCAACTCCTCAAATTTCCAAATGACCAAATACCTGATTTCCCAAATTTCCAAGTGACCAAATATCCAACCCCCCACTAAATTCCTAAGTTGCCCAAATTCCATGTGACCAAATACCTAACTCTTCAAATTTCTGAATGATCAAATATCCAACTCCCCAAATTTCCAAATGACCAAATACCTGATTTCCCAAATTTTCAAGTTGCCAAATATCGAACCCCCCAAATTTCCAAGTGACCCAATATCCAACCTCCCCAAATTTCCAAGTGACCAAATATCCAACTCCCCAAATTCCCAAATGACCAAATACCTAATTTCCCAAATTTCCATGTGACCAAATATCCAACCCCCCAAATTTCCAAGTGACCCAATATCCAACCCCCCCAAATTTCCAAGTGACCAAATATCCAACTCCCCAAATTTCCAAATGACCAAATACCTGATTTCCCAAATTTTCAAGTTGCCAAATATCGAACCCCCCAAATTTCCAAGTGACCCAATATCCAACCTCCCCAAATTTCCAAGTGACCAAATATCCAACTCCCCAAATTTCCAAATGACCAAATACCTGATTTCCCAAATTTCCAAGTGACCAAATATCCAACTCCCCAAATTTCCAAATGACCAAATACCTGATTTCCCAAATTTCCAAGTGACCAAATATCCAACTCCCCAAATTTCCAAATGACCAAATACCTGATTTCCCAAATTTCCAAGTGACCAAATATCCAACTCCCCAAATTTCCAAATGACCAAATACCTGATTTCCCAAATTTCCAAGTGACCAAATATCCAACTCCCCAAATTTCCAAATGACCAAATACCTGATTTCCCAAATTTCCAAGTGACCAAATATCCAACTCCCCAAATTTCCAAATGACCAAATACCTGATTTCCCAAATTTCCAAGTGACCAAATATCCAACTCCCCAAATTTCCAAATGACCAAATACCTGATTTCCCAAATTTCCAAGTGACCAAATATCCAACTCCCCAAATTTCCAAATGACCAAATACCTGATTTCCCAAATTTCCAAGTGACCAAATATCCAACTCCCCAAATTTCCAAATGACCAAATACCTGATTTCCCAAATTTCCAAGTGACCAAATATCCAACTCCCCAAATTCCCAAATGACCAAATACCTAATTTCCCAAATTTCCATGTGACCAAATACCTAATTTCCCAAATTTCCAAATGACCAAATATCCAACCCCCCAAATTCCCAAATGACCAAATATCCAACCTCCAAAATTTTCAAGTGACCCAATATCTAACCCCCCCAAATTTCCAAGTGACCAAATACCTAACTCCCCAAATTCCCAAATGACCAAATACCTAATTTCCCAAATTTCCATGTGACCAAATACCTCAACCCCCCCCCCCAAATTTCCAAGTGACCATATCCCTAACTTCCCAAATTTCCAAATTACCAAATATCCAACCCCCCAAATTTCCAAATTACCAAATATCCACCTCCTCACCTCCTCAAATTTCCAACTGCCTAACTTCCCAAATTTCCACCCATAAAGGTATCCAAGTCACCACAATATCAAAGGGTTACGACTAACGGAAAGAGAGAAACAAAAGTATTATACAAAAAAGAGTAAAGACAGGAAGAGAAGGTGGACATCGATGTCCCCCGCCTCGCATACCAGTCGCATTGCGGCTCAATACAAAGTGTTGAGATAAAAGAGTTTCCCTTCATCTTTTCCCGCGTTCGGGTGTCTCATTGTTGATCGGAAGGGAGAAAGAAGGAAGTCGACTCGTGACATCCGAAGCGACCGCTCGTTAACGACGCTGTAAATTACATGTTCGGCCATATCGTAATGAATCTCTGGATGGATATCCTCTGGAAGGTTTCTGCACGACGATTGGAAGAGACACGGGCTGCGAATCCCGGTTCTTTAGAGCCGACTAGGCTGAAGCTACGCGTAATTGCGTATTCAGGATACGGCCCGTTGAGCCGAGGAATTCGGTGAATGGGCATGAACGGGCATTCACGGGCACGCATGCCTTTACGGATCGCTAAAGTATTCGCGGTTGAAAAGTATACGTTGCGAGCTGGACGAGTCTCTCGATTTTGAGGCTCAAGGCTGAATTAACCGAGTTAACACGGTTACGAAGTTGAACGCGAGAGGGTACTGGATTCGATCGAAAACTTTCGACGAAAGGGATCAATTGTTTACTTCAGTCATTTGCATATGATAGTTATGTTAAATTATATTAGTTAAGTTAGTTGGGGAAATGAGGAAAGACTTCTACGAATTCTTGGAGTTAGTGCGATGTCTGGTAGACAAGGTGTTCAAGAATGTTAAGGATCTTTGTACAAGTCTTTTTTGTCCAGATCCTTAAACTCTGACATCTTATCTTTCTTGTATTTATTTATCATTCTTATATTTTTAAATTGCAAATGTGTCATTTAACTGCTACGTCTCTGTGTACCTACGTCATCAAATTTCCTACATCCTCAATCACCTGCGTCCCTAAACTTCTGCACCTCCAGACTCAGATATCTTCTACCTATCAAATCACTCAGAAACTTGGTACTACACATCTCTCCTAATACATCCAGTTTCATAATACAATATAAAAACGATAGAAAAGGTTTCATCAGAAACATCGCAGTGCTATTTGAACAAAAATTATTATAAAACTTGTGAGTCCTCCAGCATCAAAAATGCATTGTGAGCGGCGTCACAAAAAGAAAATTTGGTAATTAAGAGGGCCAGCAGTCTCTACGTAGCCTATTCCCTTCGAAATTCAATGAATCGGCGTCCTCATTGTCCCATTATCGGCAGGCGTGCGTAAACGTTCGTTAACAGAGACGCCGTTACCGGTGACAAGTTAGAGGCACGCCCACGCGGTGACGCGTTCCGAATGCAAATGCGAGCAGTTTCAGACGATTTCTCGTCCCCTTTTTCTTGCCAGCGTTTCCCTTTCGTAGCGATCGGCAGCCGATTTACCCTGATTCGTCGCAAGTCGGGTTACTTTCCATGTTACAGGACCCGGTTGTGGCCGCGGCTCGTCGAACCGCGACTAATTTCACTTGCGCTCTCGATACGACCGTGCCGCAACCCAAACACCGATTTCACGAAGCGATATCGGAGTATTCTTGTTCGTGGCGTAATCACGCGTGATGTGAACGAGGATAACCGCGAATTTCTGATCGATTCGGGTACTCTCGTTTCTAACCACATGAGATCGTTTTGCGAGGATAAATCGTGACCGATTTCGAGGAATCCATGGAGAAACTGGCGGATTCTGCAACGGGAATCGCCGGAACCCGGTGACCCGGAGCCTCGCGGATAAAGCAATCTCGGTCGAGGAACGGTTTTGCAACAAGGTGAAAAGTGCCCTTGAAACGAGTGATCAGTAGCTACGAATTCTGTGATTTAAAGCGATCAACAAGGTTAGGTTTATATACGAGGTTAGGTTAGGCTGAATGGGAAGAAAGTGATTGCTCTGAAATCACACTTCAAATTGCACACTTTTGACGTTTTTTACAGTCTTTGGCTACTCGGACTTTTCTATGACAAAGTTCTCTCTAATATACTTTGCATGTACGTCTAAATATTTTTGACCGAATAAGGTGAAACTATGAAGAAATTTGATAGAACAAACAAGTATATATTTCAATGCAAGTGTACGACTATAAGGTTATAGTTTGATGTACGCACAGATAATCTATCAGAAGATATATTGGAAGGGTACGTTTGACCCTGTGCCCTTTATAGGTACGACAGTTATAAAACACAGTTAGAAGGAGGAGAGCGATAACGATCAGGGCAGGTTTTTATCCCGGGTAACAGCTGTTCGCGCGATAATTACGGCAGCATAGGAGTTTGTCTGGAGTATAAGGTGCAGGTAGGTGCACCCACGAGTCGGTCGAAATGGGGTGTTGGTGGCAGAGGTTCCGTTAGAGCCCGGAGGCTGCGTTCGTTCACCATTACCGTGGAACGCGGAATATGATTACCTTCACCTGGGAACAGACTGCTATCCCCTCCGGATCGTAGACCGTGGGCGAAGTTTCCACCGTGGATCCTGTGTCCCGGTTCGCCGGTTGATACTCGCCGATGTTCCGTGATTAGTTAAAGACTCGGTTCCCCGCACGATTTCCGACATCGCGGGCCGTGAGATCGAGATCAGGCCTTGAAATCCGCATTAACGACGACAAACGAGAGCCCGCCATAACACGGGGACCCGATCGGTCTAGGCAAACCCATTTACGCGCACGGCTAATTCGATTTCGCGTGTTGCGTGTTATGCAAATGGCCGATTCAATCGATCGGCCGTGTGCGTGCGTGCACGATCAACATCCTCTCGTAGCGATCGGTGTTCGCTTGGGAAACGATGCCTCGGCGAGTCTCGAATCTGCTAATTGGAAATGGCTCGAGACGGTTCGACTCGGAACGTGAGAGACGACCGCTCGTGAGAGACCCGCGTTTTATGCAAATCGACCGAGATCCCTTT